AAAAAAAAAAAAAAAAAAAAAAAGAGGAAGCAAATGTTGTCATTATTAAAACATAAAATCAGGATTGATAATGAAACCAGCTTGCATTATATGCTTTTTAGCATTGTCGAGAGAAGTTCAGCAAGCTAGAAGACAAAAAGCAATAAACCTCACCAACTGTCAAGGCTGATAGACATCCGGAAGCTGAAGACCCACACTAGCAGCTGATTTCCCTAGTACTTTCTTCATTTCATCTGACCTATCCACTGCAATATTGTAGGAAAACAGCAAGTCCTGAACAATCACAAGCAATTTAAGGTGAAATCTTGAGTTGGTTATTGCCAGAATTTTAAGGAAGTAATTCTTCTACTACACAATTAATTTTTATTTGAAGTTACAAGTGAAAAACTATTGAACCCCAAGGAAATCTGAAAGAATATACATGTACTCCAAAAGGGAAAGATCCCCAAGTAATTCCCAATAACAAACCTATCTTGCGCCATTCATGTAACTAGCCAATATCTTCTAATAACTTTCGTTACTCTTTATTTCTACCCCTCCGAAGCAAATTCTTAAATCTATAACTATATAACACGTTTGAACAGGAAGTTAGAAAGGTCAACTAGAACGAGGTAACAAGATGGATCATTACTTGACAAAATAAATGAAAAATAAATGTTAGCACCCAATGGGCATTGATTTGAGAAATCTGTTATTAGTATTCCATATTCAGATCCATTTGAACACCATACAAGAACTAAAGTTCGAATTGGAAAACCATATTTCACAATAGTAACCGCTTAAACATAGACAGCCCCGCCAATTAACAAACAGATTGCATGCATAAACACAACCATATACGATCGTTTAAACAATATACAAGAACCAAATTCTAACCATATTGCCAATTTGTAGCCGCTTAAATATAGACAGACCCTTCAATTAACAAACAAATTGTTTGCATAAACCCAAAAATATATTCATATATAGTTACATAAACGCGTATATTATATGTGAATAATGAAAGCTAAGAGTACCTTGTGTTGGTGAACGCTGTTCATGTAAAGAGCATAATCACGGGCAAGCCTTATTTTCTGGTGAATGAATATTGGGTCTGACTGTTGAGCGTTGTTCTTGAACTCTGATTTGATGAAATCTATGAAATGGGTCTTGTGGTCTTCCTTTCCGATGTGTTTCTGGACAGCTTTGAGAAGGTGGCGATACACCATCGAAGCTCGTAAGGCCTGTGAACTAGAACCCATTTAGCCCCAAATTTACAAGTTCAAATGACGAATCTGAGAATGTATCCAAGTAAGCACCACAAAGCAGCGTGTCGGCCAGAAAGTTGGGGTTGGACGCCGACTTTCAGAGCAAGGGGCTTGTTTGGGGGCTTCTCTTTCCTCTGCTGATTTCGTCGCTTATTCTTCCTGGGAATCTCACCTTCCACCCCGAAAGATTGAAAATTTTCCATTTTGCAACCTGAAGATGAGATTATTTACATTGTACCTTAATGTATTAAAAGTGTTGCAACGTGATTTTTTTATTAATTTTTTGGGAGAATTATATCAAGACCTCCTGAGATTTGTCACTTAATTACTCAGATCCCTAATATTTAAAATATTATACATAGACTTCTAAGATTTGTACGTAGGTAATACTTAGACAATTTTTGTAAATATATCTATTAATAAATTACACTTAGATTCTCATAAAATTTGTAGGTATATAATTCTTAGGCCCTTTAAATTTAAATTATTATACTTAAAAAAAATATTCCAATTAAATATAGAATATTAAATATTTTAAATTTTACAACAAAAATTCATGTTCTACTATATCATTTATTGAAATAAAATTAAAATTAAAAAATTATTTTTTTTTAAAAAAATCGTAATTAGTATACAATTATTCTATCTATTAGAATAAAAATAAAAAATCAAATAAGGGGTTTAAGTCATTCATAATAGAACATAAATTTTGGTTGTAAAATTTAAAATATTTTATATTTGATTGGAATATTTTTGGTCTAAGTATAATATTTTAAATTGAAGGGGTCTAAATATTATATACCTAAAAAGTTTAGAGAGTCTAAGTATAATTTATTAAATAATATATTTACGGGTCAAATTGTTACGCGTGTACAAAATTCAAGGGTTTGTTTGTAATATTTTAAATGTCAGGAGTTTGAGTGATTAAGTGACAAAATTCAGAAAATTTATGTGTAATTCTCCTTAATTTTTTTTCACTCGTTGAACTTTGATGAGATGGGTTTTGATGGAATAAATAACAAAATAACCATATTATAATACTTTTAACATATTAATTATATAATGTCAAAAATCTAATTATTAAAAGCATAAAATGAGAATTTGAAAAATATTGGTCCTATTCTTTTCCACTGACTAATTACACTTTGTACCCTCAAAATTAAATTTTTTAACTTTATATCCTCAATTTTTTTTTTATATTTTACTCGTATTAAAAATAATCATAAAATAAATTTTTATTCTCAGATTAGTGATAATACGAAACACGAAAACATTATTATGATATTTAAAATTCGGGTATTTTTTTATTAGAAATGAGACGTCCGTTTCCAACTAGGTTATTGTGGTCCAATTGGACTAATATAAGGTACAAGTACAACCCACTTACACCGCGAGCTGAAGCCATTACACATCGGTCTCATACCGCCGAGACCAGTCGACAAACGGTACATTAAGCAGTGCCCGTGTTCGTGGCCAGAGTGAGAATCAAACAGATCTCTGTCGCGAAGACGATCGACTAAGCAATCGAGAGAGGCCATGTTGCGAGAGCGAGCTAAGCGGACGACACTCCCTCCAGCTCAGCAGGTGCAAATTAAGCTCAATTTCGAAATAATATTGAACTGTTTTTATTATTGATCTGCATCGATTTTGGTTGATTTATCGTATTGCAGCCTAATTGGTGGCTAGCAATTAGTTAATTGGGTTATGAGATTGAATTTTTTCAGAAGATTTTTTTTTTGAACTGTTAATTGCAGAATATTGATAAGTTAGAGAAAGTTGTGAAGGAAGGCAATTACTATGGAGCTCAACAGATGTACAAGTCTACTAGCGCAAGGTGAAAACTCGGGCTTCAACATTTAGATGTATATGTATATATGTATGCATATGTTTTTGTGTATGTGTATGCTTTTTTTTTTAGTACTATTGCTTTCTTAATTGGATGCACTTTCATTTATAGATGTGTGCAATAAATAAAAATGCACACATCTATAATTGGATGCGTGTTTTAGTTTTAATGCTACTGTTTCTTAATTGTAGGTTTCGTTTTTAGATGTGTGCAATAAATAAAAATGTGTGTTTTATTACAGATATATAGCCGCCGAAAGATATTCGGAGGCCTTGGATGTTCTTCAGGCGGGTGCTTGCATCCAGTTGGCAAATGCGCAGGTGATACGCAGTTGAATTTGAAATTTTGTTTGGATATGGAATTCAGGTTGTTTTGAGTTGGACTGATATCACCATTTGATTAATGGCAGGCCTATTTGCATCATTCTTCAACATAATTAGCTGCTTAGTCTGGCTAGCTAGCTATGCCACCACAAGTATATAGTACGCATTTAGAGTATTGTTATCCATGTTCAATATAAGATGCTTTTGTTCCATTATGAATTGTATGTTCACTAGATTGCGTTTATCTACTGTGGCCTATGTTTCTGTCAATGAGATACATAATTGATGTACATCAAATAGGTAGCAGGGGTGCAAATGCACAGGGATCAAGTTGGAAATTTCTAAATATAAAAATACCTTGCCTAATGTATGGTTTTGTGAAACAGTAAAAATGGACCTATGGCAGCATGATGCACGGGCCTATTTTGATCAGTGTATCTTTGTGAAGCTAGTTGAAACTTTGTTTTTTTTTTCTCGAAGAAAAACTATTTCATGAACATCATCCACTGTTGTTTTTTTCCTTGCAAAATCCATATATATTGATTACACTATACATCTTTTTCAGGTGACTTGTGGGGCTGAGCTAGCTGTGTTGTTCGTGGAGACACTTGTAAAGGGAAAATATCCTTATGATGATGATACTCTTGGTTAGTTCATAGTTTGTGATGTATTTTATGGTCTTGTTAACTTTTCCTCTTATGTTGCGTGATGCATACAAAGGATTTGGTTTGACGCCAGGCATGCGTGGCAATGTACATCTTTGAATAAGAAAAAAATGAACAAAAGTTATGTATGGGAGAGAGTAATTGATAAGTAAGTTGGAAAAAATAAATTTATAGATACAATTATACAAATAGAGTAAATAACAATTAGAACCCTGTTAGATTGTCCTAATATAAGGACACTCCTTTCTGAAAATACACCGGCATCCCCCCCCCCCGCGCGGGCGCAGGGGGCGTGAGTTTTCCCTTGTAAAATTGAACAATATTTAGAGTTTTAGATAGCGGAAGCTGCAATTTTTAGAGTATTACACTGGTCATTTTTTCAAAGCTGTAACAATATTTGTACATTTTTTTTTATTTATATAAAAACAGAAGTGAAAATTATAAAAATAATATCTATTTTTTCAAATCATCTAGTCTACATTTTGGAAAAGTTTGGTTTTATTTATTTTCTCTGTGTATTTTTTTCCCTTTTTTAATTTATGAATTATGGACATGATTCTTTTTTATATATATTTTTTGTTTATTTTTTCTAGTTTAATTGAGGAGATAGAGACAACAATATTTTTTTATGTTTCATCTTATAATTTCATCTTTTTATTTTTTAAATTAGTCTACAATGCATATTATTTGACCTAAGGCTAAAATTGGTATTACAAGAAGAATCTTTCAGGAATCACCGCTATCAAAGAAGTGTCTTTGTACTTAGACCTAACTATAAGGCGTGACATTGTAACTTTGAATAAATTGGTTTATGCATTTGACGAGTAGTCTGATAGTTTTATTCTTCTGTTTACTATGTGTCGGCAACTTCTGTAATGTAGATTATCTCTAGATTCCTAGTCTTGATTGAAGTACTAATTTTTCCATTGTTTTGTATTTCTTCTTGATTATGACAAATATCAATCTTAGACTGTGTCAGGAGAATTTACAAGAAGTTCCCTCGAATTTCTGTGCCACAACACTTGGACTTAACAGATGATGATGATGTACAACAACTTTCTGAATTCCTTGGGGCAGCAAAAACGCGTGTGGAGTGCTGCTCGTCATTTTTAAAAGCTGCTATTAAGTGAGATATTCTGCCATTGTTTTATGATAAAGTAAGAGTTTGGTTGGCATAAACAATTCTCAGAACTAATCATTGATGTTATCATAGTAATCTGTTGTTGGGACTTCAAATTCCCGTCAAGATCTCTTTGGTGCTGCATAATTTAATGACACTTGATACATCAATCTTCTTTCATGCCCTGTACCTTTGACTACGTTGCAGTTCTATGCATCTTTAGGATGTTCATGTAGCTGACTGAACAGTACCTGCACAGACTTGTTATTGAGCAACAATTATTGTTCTGAACCCAAATGTTAGAAATACTGTTTGTATCCATGATGGAACATGCAATTCTAATTTCAGTGATTGAGCATCAATTTATGACTTAGAATTTCATGAACATTATGCACCAAATTTTAGTAATGCAAGTACATACAAAAGTTAAATACTTTATTTGCTCACTTGGTAATCTCAAAATGAGGAACCATTAGGGGTGTCAATCGTGTAGGGTTAAACGGTTATGTGTCGGGTTAAACGGGTGAAAAACATATAAATACATACACGACACGACATGTTTAACCCGTTTAATTTTAAAAAAATTATATCAATAAATTTTAATACTCCACTTTTTTTTACTGTCAATTGCACTTACCTAAAAAAATAGGAATTTTTAGTCAAATCTCATAAAAATAAGACTTGAAGACTTAAAAAAAACAAGAAGCAAGAGGCCATTGCCTTTTATAGGCAACTCAGCTCTCCCCATCTCTTCTCATTTTCCAATGTGGGACAAAAACAAAAGGCATTGGTTTGCCTTTGTTTTTGAAGTGCTCCCCATCTCCTCTTTTTTGTCTTGAACTACTATTTTATTTTATTTTTTTATTGATTTCTTTACTTTTTTTTTGTTAATTTTTTAAAATAATTATTAATTTNTATTTACCTTTAGAACTTATGTAGAAATGTTCGTACTCAAACATTGTGTTTGAAAAGGTTGTCTTGAGGCATTTGTTGTGTACACTATATCATCCCATAAAAGGATTATTATTTTGGGTATTGTA